AGGGGTTCGACCCTCCTGCCTGGGATGGGGGGGCAGAGAGGGGTCTAGGACAACTTGCATAATATGGAAGAAATGGAGAAAGAGAATCAGGAAAGGAAGGAGGCCGAGGGAGGAAAGAAATGAAATGTGAAGGACAAAAATTAAAAAAAAAACATTTTTAAAATTATTTTAAATAATTGAATAAAATTGTTGAATTGTCCTGCAGTGAGTTGCCCCATTCCGGACAGGGAAGGCAGAAAGGATCTGGGGGAGGGATCTTGGGGAAAGGGAAGGTAGCTGAGGAGATCAGGCAGATCCCAGGATCACAGAAGAGCCTTGGAAGGGATCCCTCTTGATCTCCTCCTCCAGCAAATGGCACAACTCTTGGGTGGATTAATAGGTGGATTAATAGGTGGATTAATAGGTGGATTAATAACCCCCCAAGAGGGTCCTTCATAGATCCACTCCAGGTCAGAGAACTTTTGCTAACAACGTTTTTTCTCCGTTGAGGGATTCTCTGATGAAGAGCTCATTATATAATGTTTAAGAACCTGCAATTTTTAAAGGTTTGGTTATTTGTAATTTAATCCTGGGATCTGGTTGGGGTTTTTTTATGAACAGTTAATTATTCTCCTAGGTTTGCAGGGAAGAATTTAGGAATAAAAACGAATTCCAGACTGAATATGCGGAGAACAAAATCTGTGTCGGTTCCCCTTAAATATTCCATAATTTCCGGAAGGAGCAAATGCCCAGCCTCTCCCTGTAAAATGCCTTTTTCTCTTGGGATCTGGCGGTTTTTCTCTTGTGGAAGAAAGATCTTATTTAATTCTTTGGTAGGATATTATTTTGGGAGACCCTGGCAACAACAAATGGCAACAACTGCAGATGAAACACTTGTTTTGCACTATGAAACCTTATCAGTTGATATAAATAAATAAGGTTTTTTTAATATAAACAAATAAAACTAGAACAACAAAGGTAGGCAATTTGCCAGGAATCTGGAACAGGGAACTAAAGGATCCGAGGCTTCAGGACTGAACGAATGCCCGAAATTCAGTTTTAATATTTGTGGGTGTTTTTTAAATCTTTGCCCCCAAATGAGGAACCTTCCCAGATACGAAGAGGGAAGGGATTCGGCTGCAGGTGAAGCCGAGTCTGTGACCAAAAAGGGGGTTTCAGGGGGGGCTTTTCTCCCAGACCCCCAAAATTGGATGAACAAATGACTCTGAATAAAGAATAAAAAGAACTAAAAGAGGGACAGGGCCCAGCAGATGAAAGAGCCTTCCCTGATTCCCTTTTCCAGACCTTCGGAAGTTTTTATCCCAAAATCCCAAAGGCTCCAGAGGTGAAGGGAGCCCCTCCCCCATTCCTGGCCTTCCGGAAAGGGGTGAAAAGGGGGCTCTGGGGCTTTGCTTGGGGGGCACAGAGGAGGAGGCAGCCCTCCCCCTTTTAATTTACTACTGCATTTTAATCATTCTTGTCTTTTAAATCCTATAGATTATTTTGGTGGTTTTATATTTTATGGGTATACCATGCAAAGTCCCTCTGTGAGAGAGAGATGGTTTTAAAAGTTGATAAGTAAATCAATATATTATTGATTTATTAATATAAAATATTATATTAAAATATTATATAGTGTATAGATTATATTGAAATATATCCATATACTGGGCAAGAGAGAGACTGTGCTGGATTCCTCCCCCCCCCAAAAAATATAATATTTGGTATAATATTCTGGAAAGAAGTTTTTCTGGGCAGGGGAAACTTTGGACCATGGGAAGAGAAGGAAGATGGTGGGACTGATGGGAAGGAGAGGAATCTATTTCTTCCCTTTGGCATGTTTAATGGCCATCCTTGTAGAATTTCAAACTTTTTAATGGTAATTTATTTTTTAACCTTATTTTTGATACATTTTTATTTAGGGGTGATGTTATATCCTACGCCATCCAGATCCCCGCTTGGAGGGAGGTGAAGGGATTAGGAGTATCCATAAATATCAATAAATACCAATGAATAAATTTCGTAGATCGGAGAGTACAGATACAAAAGGGGCAAATTTTTATCCGGGAGACTCCTAATAAATGAAATGAAAAGGGGGGTCCCTGCATTCCCCCCCCGTAGAACTCCCCCTCCCCCACTCACCTCTCCGGCCAACCACAGAAGCCCTCTGGGCAGTCCCGTAGTTGTATCGGCAGAAGGAATCCACGCAGGCCTTCTGGAACTGCAGGATGGCCTTATCGCTGTTCCACTTGTCCACAGCGGGCTGCCCCAACGGAGTGACGGCCACGTATTTCCCGAGATCGCTGTCGAAGTACCTGATCTCCTGCCGGTCGTAGATGTCCCGGTCCAGGAACCGCACCCGCTGCGTCCCGTTGAAGAAATGGCACTCGGTCTTCTCCTGGAGGAGGAAATGGGCTGCGGGGGGGGGG